AAAATACTGCCCGAAATTTTAATTCCGCAACTGTATAAAAGATAAGACTTACTGACTTACTTAAAATCTTAAACAAGTAGTTTTCACAGATTACATCACGATCAGAAGTGCTTGTTCGAACATAAAATTGACGCGGGAAATAGCATTATTAACAGCTGATAATATGGTGCGAACTGAAATAAATTATAACACAAAACAATTTCTTTCCAGGATTGTAGTTCCTCGAAATGTTTTGTCTTCCTCAGCGTTCGACCTTGGCGTATCGCGCCTGGCTCGACACTGAATACGCTCGAAGAAGAGAAAATTCTGCAGTTTTTTATTTTTTATTGCATTGGCCTATAATAATTCATGTACTCGCTCTAAATTTTTTTAAACTATTACTATTTTGGAAAGGGCCTTTTATCCCAAGGGCCCCCCCGCGGCCGCGGGCTTTGGCGGGTGGGTAGTTACGCCACTGATTCGAAACCACCCCAAAGCACCTGCATAGAAATCAGCGCTCTCCCATGATGAAAAGCATGAAACAACCACTTCGGTTAAGTTCGGAAAATCTTCGTGATGAGCTCGGAACGCAACTTTAACAATTAATTTAAAAAAAGTACTGGCTAAAAAACAATTTTATTTAATTAAAGGTCATTTTTAGATCATAATCTTTAATTAAAAAAATTATCATGGTGGGTTGCCATTTAAAATTTTTTTTTTCTAAAACCCGAAAACTAAAAGAAATTTCGAAAAATGTTATTCTTGATAAATGGTCATATTTTAATTGGACTTTACGCTACACTAATTTTTTTTTTTTTTGTAAAGTGGTTAGTTTACGAGAAAAACGCTTCGTTCCATACTTTTTATTCACCTGGTATGTATTTCCCCGACGTATTTTATTAAATAAACTTTGTTTCACCTACACAATTTTTGTTTTTGTTTTCAGTTTATTTCTGAAATTTCTCTACACTTATTTTCGTATTCGATGTGTTCTTCTTGTACATTTTCCCAATTGTAATTGAAGTAAAATTTGATGAAAATATTTTTGCGTCACAAAAAAACATTTCTTGTTTTTGTTCGATTGTGAGGCCAACCAAAATTTGTGGTAAGGTGTTTTAAGAGAAAGTGAGGAAAAAACATTTTTTGTGGATATAAATTCCTGGGATACCTTTACATTTGTGGACGTTTCCAAGCGAACGTGGGCTTATTTTGGCAGGCTTTACGCAGAATTTGGCGCCGCTTGCAAATGCGTCCTTCAAGTCAGCTGAGCATCTTGCAATTTTTTCTTTTAACGATTTCCACGAATTGCTTTTGCTGTTGGATGAATATTTAAAATCGTCGCTGAAAAAGAGTGGAACCGAAATGAAACAGTTTCGTTAGCGAATCCATAAATAATTTAAAAATATGTACATTTTCGGAGCAACAGAAAAATAACGACTAGAGTAAATAAATCTTTTATTTTGCTTTAGCATAAAATATGAAATATTTATACTCCAGAGTTTGCGTTATATCGAGCTATCACTGTGGGCGTTTTTGTGCTTTTCCAGTTAAAATTAATGTAGAAAATTCGAACCGTTGGTGCATCCCGCTTACTTCGCAAATTGCCAATTTGAATAAATTTGGCTTCAGGTGAAAACTGGCGTCTTGTCAAGAAAACTGCGTGACCTTCGCGCCAGCTGAGTAGAATTTCCGCGTCATCGGAAATAAAAGTGGTGAAAGGTCAAGAGTCGACTGGTGCATTGAGATAAGGGGGCGCAGGGTAAGTCCCACCATTTATAACTTTTCGGGTGTCGTAGCACGCTTTGACTCTCCAAAAATAGCGGAAACAAAACCTGGCACGAGAGTTCATTGGCTCAGGTAGGCTTCAAGCCGCCTCTGATAAATGGGCACAAATCGTGGCAACGCAGAATAATCAAATTAAAGTCGATGCTTTGGAGGTATAGAGAAATTCAATGTTAAATTTGCTACCAAATAATTCAAAAACGTATCTGTGTGAAAGAGAATATTTTTCTATATAGGATAAACAAAACAAATTGCCAATTTTTTTAAATAGATTTTTGAATTTATATTACTATGAAAATGTATTCAATTTATTTATTTAGGAAAAAATTGCAATTTTGCTATTTGATGTATGTGTAATTAATTAATAGTGCTGTGCAATGTTTTGAATTAAAAACTAATTTTATTTTTAGACAACGTATTAGGTAGAAATATCGAAATTAAATTTCCATGAAATTCCAATAATTTAACTCTACAAGAAGCTATTGCAAATAAAAAAATACGTAAGCACATCTAAAAGGTAGTGTCTTAGGTTTGAAAAAGAACCATAAATATTTTCAAAAAAAAACAATTATTTATTGCTAAAAAAAGTTTCTTATTTTATAATCTAGACACCTTTTTGACATGATATACGAAAAAATTTAAAGAATGAATTATTATTCTTATAGAAAGTTGTTGAAACAATAAATTATTGTTTTTATTATAACTATTTTATTTTAATTCGTGCTATCTGGATTAATTTACTTTATGGAAGTTAGTATATTTTTCACAAAACATTTTAATTTTAAAAAGTATAAAATTTGTCTCTTATTGTTTTGTTCGACAAATTTTGTTTAAAGGAAAAGTAAATGGTACGACTTAGCGTAACGTAGTTTTTTTTTGTAGTTTCTGGTGCTGTCAATTATCTATCCCAAGTGGTGACTGTTGTTCCAAATTATTTTTTGGTTATGTCAATACATATTTGGTTTTACTTTACGTCACCCGCAACCCCAGAATTTTGCAAAAATGACCAAAAATTTGCGACAAGCCAAGTATCTCGTAGGCGTCGCCCAAACGGAACTTGTTTTGCAAAAAATGGTATAAACACAAACCGATAATACATTATGGATCAAAAGAATGCCAACTTCAAAGAAAAACTCTCGTTCGGCGAAAAATAGTCGACCGGCCGCAAACGCGGATTTTAATTGTTAATTATAATAATGATGAAACTTGGCTCGACTCGCTTGAATATTCATCAAAACGGAAAAATCCGGACGAGATTAATCAAAGAATGAAACTTTCTAGATGAAGGAGCAAACAATAGAAATAAGAGGTCCCAGACTTAATGTAATTGTAAATTCGCATCTCCGGACTCAATCTTCATATTAAAAATTCGCTTAATTGACTCGACTTTTTTACTCACTTGTTTATTTTATTATTCAAAAGCTAGCGAATTTGCATATCGGCCCGAAATACTAATTAAAGACGCGACTAATTTGAAACACAAAGTGTATCGTCGAAGAAATGCCTCACTCTCCGGCACTCTATTTGCTCAGTCGATCGGTTTCTTTGATTTATTATTTAAAGAATGGAGTGATTTCCAACTGTTGGCTTTAAAATCCAAAGGTCACCAGTGGGGATGATTAAATCGGCTTGGGAACTTTTTTACTCGTAAAGTTTGTAGAAACGGACAAATTGCAACAAGAGGGGAAACACCGCGACGAGGCGATCAGTTTTATAAGCTACTCAAGACCCCTTCATTATTTATGAATTATTTTAACTAGATTTACGAGAAAAAAGTCCAAGTAAATTTACGGTAACCACCCCTCTAATCGCAGTTTAATTTCAATTCACGCTTACTGAAATCTTGTTTAATTTATCGGAGATCCGTCCCGAAAACTGCATTTACTCATTTCAGTTTTGGAATTATCTCAAGACAGAGTCGTGCGTGCCGAATTCAAAGTATGCGCCACAAAAATTAAAAATTTTTCGTCGTGTCTCCTTTGGGAAAATCGCAAAGTGATTTCGCGTAATTAAAATCCTCTTCTATTGTGAAACGTCAGCGTGAAAAGCTATTGATTGACGAATAAAAAACCGACTCTTGAATTCACACAATCGGCTTGAAAACTGACACCCAATATAAAATTTCAAGTGACTTGAAAGTTAAAATAAATCAACGGTTTGAATTAGATCAATAATTAGCGGATATTTATTTATTTGGAACGGTTTTCAAACACATATGAAAATGCAGGGAAACAAACTGAAATATTGGGTTACATTTATTTTCAAAGCATTACTTTTTAAATAAACAGAGAAGCGTCGGTTTTATTGGTTTCGTAATGTGCTTAAATTAAACGAAACTAGGGGGAATTCGCGTCTTGGGGTTACCGAGCGTGAAGAGGGCACAGTTGCGACCTCAGGCCATTTAATCATCGCCTAATCAAGACGGGTCACCGTCTTAACAACATTTGTATCTTTACGACTCCTCAGAACAAGACTGGCTTCATTTACATTCCCTCCGATGTAAGATAAATCACACATTTCAGCCAAATTTCAGGACACAATCCGAGCTTTGTCCATACGGAACAAAGCCACGCACGGCTTATTTTCCAGTTACATGTGTTAAAATAATTAGCCGGTGAACCCTTTTGTGAGCGACTAATTGTTAGTTTTTCGTAAACAAGTTTATTGTGACTAGCCGCTACAATGGCATTGTTCCGGGTGTTTGCGGCTAAAAATCACAATTATCTTGAGACTGAGCTACAACGGATCGATGTTTGCACCACAACCGGGGTTTCTGATAAGAATTGTTTATAAACGTCAAATGGAGGGCTTGTCGATACAATTCAACGTTTATTAGAAAAGGGCTCCCAGTGGGAGTGTTGTTTCTTAGGGCTGGTTGACCTAAAGTTGACCCTGTGGACGAGGATCCATCAAGCTTAACCTTGTTTAAGGCTTAAACTTGAGTGACATTCCGGACCGGCTTTTCACTTACTTAAAGATGTCTTGTTTACAGCCACATCACCGGATCTTTAGACGTTTTATAAAAAATGTTTCGATAACAACTCGTCTTCCACTCGATTCACCTCAGACAAAGAAACTCCGAAAATTCCTCAAAGTATATGAACAAGCATAATCATCGCCGCAATCAATCAAAATTTATTTCATCGAAACTTTCCCGAGAATCCCTCCCAAATTTCAAAGGTTAAATACCTCATTTAAAGCCGCGCTTAATAACACTTAAGTTCTCGATATTCTCTTACCTCGATACGGCGCGTAGATGTTCAAATAGAGGCAATCCTCGCTCTGGTGCCCCAAAAACTGTTGCAACCTCAAAAACTCTGCCCTTCTCTCCGGGGTCATCTTGCTCGTATCTGGGAATTTTTGAGGACACACTGGACCGAACCGATTCGCGTATTTAACCTCACGTCCGAACCCGGGGGCGCTCCCCGGGGGCATAAACCGGAGGTCGCCCACGGGGGGCACCGCGTAAGGAATCCCTTTGTACTGTTCCACAGGAGGCAAATTGCGATTGGTGCGAAACGCCACGACGACGCCCTGCAGGTACCCCTGCTTCAAGGTCACAATGCTCGTGTTCTCCCTAACGTACGTGTGGGCGTAATCCGCAAGGGCGCAACGTAACGTAATGATTATCGTAAGGGTGGCAGTGATGTACGTCATAGTGGCTTCAAGCAATGGCCATATTTGGATCGTTGGGCTTTTGCCAAAATTCCGGTCAGTTGGGACACATTTCTTATCACTAATCACATTTTGTCAGCACTGAAAGATGCGGAGTTACGCACTGCTTTGCCTGAAAATGCGCTTTCAGGCGACTGAAATTCGAACGGAGTTATGTCGCACGTGACGCCGGGCTATTTTGGATGAGTAAATATTCGAAACGTATGTCGGAGATTAGTGCCGGGCTATAAATAGGTGCTAAATAGAACTTTATAAATACGGGAGAGTAGACTATTTACTTTCAGTCGTTGCGCTTTCAGGGCAAGATTTTAAATTTCTGTCAAAATAATGCAAATTAAGTTTTTGTGTGTTGTAAACACCAACTGAAATATTGATTATTTTTCATAAATTTCTATATTTAGATGAATTCGGTGATGAGCAACTTTAAACCTGCAAAAAATTTCCCCTCGAATTGTTGTTCTTGCACATCTGGCGGATGTTCAAAAATACATTCGCGCTTTGAAAGGTAGTCTCATTTTTTTCGTTGCTCGTCCTCTTTGTAAGCCAATTTTAAAGTCTCTTCGTGCTAATCAAATTATCGTGCAGCAAAAATGAAAGCTATTAGTGAGTGCATACTGAAAGCTCTCACTCCCCGTCTCTTTATCTCACCCTGAAACAAAGTTACCAAACTCGAGACATATCAGGCTTGCAGAAAACACAATCTAAGTTCGGAGGCTAAAAATTCGGCGCAAACTTCCAGATAATCTCGCCTAAAATAAAGACAGGCCAAATTACTTGGTGTTTGACTTGTTAAGCGAATTCCTCCAACCACACTTTTATTTAAAGCGGAATCGGTCTAGTGGACAGTGTTATCACCCCCCGAACACATTCCATATTTCTCTGCCTCCGGCGATAACCGTTCTTAGCCTTTACGCTCCGTCCCTTCGTCTTATTTTCCCTTCTTTGATCCTGTGTGCTCGTTCTGCCGGAAATTGACTGAATCCTGAAACGTCCCACTTATTTAAATACAAATTATTCGAGTAATCCATCGAGTGGCAGCGCCAACTCCCCGACTGTACTTACAAATCCATTACCAACCCCTCGTAAACTGAAGATGAACACTGCTAAAGCTCGCGCACGTTTTAAAACAGGCATAAAGCCAACTTATAACTACCAACAGGCTTAATCACCCCAAGCGCGGATCGATCCCCTAAAAATGCACCTGAAAACTGTTTTCAGCCATCTAAGAATTGAATTTAGTTGCAATGTGAAGCTTGATGATGTCACTGCACTCCCTCGCTAAATATACCCAGACAAAGACAGCATTTTCGCGTCTGAAATTAATTTCAGGTGGAGGAGCCGTTTCAGGTGTCCGTTTGAATGCGAGGGCCGGCTAGATAAATGCGAGGACATCAATAAACCCAACGTGGCTTAGTCTGGCCTGAATTGATTTCTGAACTGGTGATAGGACTGCTCGGACAGCTCACCTGGAAACGAATCGAGATTCGCCCTCGTTTTTCCCAATTTTGTCGAGTTAATTAGAGAATAATTCTGCACCACTATCACAAAATGTAAATAAAATATGTGCGTACACGTTATCCATTTTATCGCAAATACGAGCAGAATTTAGTAAACTTATATTTCATAACGGCGTAATTAATTTTATTGCTTTAGACTGTTCCGTTCTTTTTGCGTCACCTGAGACGAAATAATTCAGTTATAGTAACGGAATTACTTAATTGCGTTAGCTGTAGACATAACACTACCGAATCAATAAAAATATTTATTTTATTGGAGCAGAATTTGCTTTTGACATAATTATTTCCAAAACTGGATGTGTGAGTTCTGCAACTGAAAAATATACTCAAAAACACAAAAGTTACAAATCACAATATTTTCCAAGCCTGTCGATGCAATTGAATTGTTAATTATTGTTTGTTTATTGAAAAGTAATTAATGAAACACAAATATCAATTCTGTTGAAATATGCCTCTCATCAAGCCATTTAAGGCTTGAAATAAACTTCTCCAATAATTCAGAATTATCTGGAAATCTCCAATTTTCTAGTGTTTCGAGAAGTTGACCGTAATTAAAACTTGTGGGAGTGAAAAAAATTTCGTCCTTAAATAACCATCTAATGATTTCTGTTGGCGAGAGCACCGCCTCTAAAAAAATTTCGAAATTGGTTCATCGTTTCGCTTTCATTTAAAATCCATTAAAAGTGAGTTTTGCGAATTTTATTTCGCTATGGACGTTAATAAATTGTATCCCCGACTCTTAAATAAAGAAATCATCTCTCGTAAAGCCATTATCTGATGAAATATCGTCAGTAATGACAGCTTTTTCCGATATTGAGTTACAAGTTGTCAGTCCGAGTTGATATCTGGGATAATGGCGACACGACGACCGTTGCGACTTCTCAACTTCATTACGGGTAAACAGTAAACAGTATTTGATTACAAGCGACAAAGTATTATTTCGCTCAACTGACAAAAATCAGCCTTGATGGTGTTTGCGCTTTTTATTTATTAACTTTGCTCAACGACCTGTGATATACGCTTTCGCTCTAATCACTGCCCCAAAACTGTCAATTATCCAAGCAAAATTCAATAAACGCCACGATTATTGCCAACGACGTCCCCCAGAACAAAACTTTCCACGAAAAATTACTCTAACCCCTAATCCAATTCAGATCGGTTGAGTTTAAGCACTCGCCGTGGAATTCTTCCGCTAATTAAAACCAAGGTAGAGCCAAAAATAAATCCATTTTCACCGAAATTGGATTCGGAAAAAAGCGAACCGGAAATTGAAGAGATCATCGAATCGACGGACGATTTATCGACAAGAACGCCTGCTTAAGCTCCAACTAATTAATTCATGACCTTTTACAAAAATTCAACTCTTTTCAACCAAAAGCAACGCTTCTGCATCAAACTATCAAGCGAAAGAACGAGACTGTTATCCTCGAAAAACAATAAAATTAGTGCTCTTAAGCACAACTCAAACTCAAAAAGCGCTCCTAAATAATAGTTTATTATGTCATTAGGAATAAAAGTGATAGTTTATGTGGTGAAACTTATTTTGCCGAACGTAGTGAGGCAAATAATTCAGCTAAGCCACATAAACTCAGATTTACTCCGACTAACATAATCATTCAGATCGAGAGTAAAGAGCAACACTATATTTAGCAATGTAAATGCACAAAATAATCAGAACGCTTTGAAAGTAATCAAATCATAACAACACTTTTTGATTTTCGAAAGTGTTTATTAATTTAAGTAGTGCAGTTGGTAGTGTAAAATGTCGAATGCTGATGATGCACCAGACAATGCTGAAGCAGCGAAAACGACAACATTAGTGAATGTCAATAATGTCATAGTAAAAGTAAAAACGCTTAGACGCAAAGTAGAATATTTACTGCATGGCTGAAAGGAAAAATTTTTACTTGTGACATTTAATTCTATGATTAAATGGTCATTTTGTGACGTTTGTCAATTAATATTTTAGTTTTGTAAAAAACTAAACTAATTATTCGGCAATATTTAATTAACTGAAACTAAATACCTACATAAATTTATAAATAAATCATTATAATAATTATTTCTATGTAATATAAAATAATTTTGTGGGCTTAATTAAAATTTCATATTTCAGATATCATTTTAGTGATTATTTCTGAAATAAAATCCTGAATAATAATAGAACTAAAACGTATAAATATAATACACAGAACCAGTCGATAATAATGACTTTATTATCGAAAGCAACAAAAAATAATCTATATAGTGAAAACGTTTATTTTGCCGATTTGTGTCAATTAGGTACGAGTGCAAAACGTGCTATTAATTTATCGCATTTTTCGCATAGTTTGCATTGTTTCCCGGTCGTCTGACATGTGCAGATTTTAATCATTTGCGAAATCCGCAACTCTGCCATCAATTTCCCCCGTCCGACACTTTTCATATCGCTGAAATCCGGAAAAAAGTTTCATTTTAAGGTTCCGTCAGGAGGGACCAATAACAAACACGACGGACCGCTTCGGAATCAATTAAAAAGCATGTGGGCGTAGGGCAAAAGAGCAAACAAAAAGCTTTCCACAAGAACCGGTGTCTTGTCGCAAATTCATACTTGATTTTAAACGTCTAGTGTAGAATTTTTTACGCCGTTTATCAAACTTTGTATGCAAATTAACTTATTTTAAACACAAATTTAAATTAAAAGAGTCGTGAACTGGAAGCACCTGCTCGTTGTGGCGCAGTCGGTAGGAGACTTTGTGAGGTCGGGCGTGATTGATTTGCCCTAACCTACTTCTAGCAATATTTTTTTTTAATTTTACGATAATTAAGCAAAACATGCTGTTTTGAATGCTTTCTAATTGCGTTAATTGCGTTTTAACTGATTTCGAATTAGCCCGAAACTCAACAATTTTTAATTAAAAAATGTTCTCCATTTGGGTTATTTATGTTGGGAGCTAATTTTGGATAAAAGCTTGATTAGAGGATTATTTAGCCCCCGCCCCTGAAAAATGTACCTCGAGCTTTCTGACTTGACTAAAATGTGAATATGACTTACCACTCTGTCAAAGTAATCGAGTTTAAACTACATTTTTACCAACTCCATCACCTTTAAGTTGGCATAAATGCAGTTCCCGTTTAAAACAAACTTAGACCTCGTGTACATCATTTAATCGCTTAACATAACATTCGTGACTTTTGAGACTCGTTCTAATTAACTTAAGCTCTCTACGAAGATATTAATTGATTGTTGCTCAGTTCAGATGTTTGCAAGCATTTGGTTCGCAATTACTTTAATAAACAGTTCGCTTCGAGAATTATAGTTGGAGTTTCCTCTCATTTACATCAATTCATCTAATGGTCTTTAAAATTTTCGATACCGCAGACGTCACAGACCATTCCCTAGATATTTCGCCTCGACACCCTTCCAATTGCAAACTCGACAAATCGATTCCGCATTCAATTCCCAAAATATCATTTTTACTTAACAGAACTGACCTAATTTTCATAAAGGAAAAAGAAGTAGAAATCGTGAAAGAAAAACAACAGTTTAAAATTTTTGGGTAAAATGTGTTTTATTTTTTAATTTAGAATTACACCAAATTTCTCATTAACAATGTTTCTTTTTGGTAATAATGAGTAGTGGTGGAATTTCCTTAGTTTTGGTGAAAATTTCTTGGTTTGAACTTCTTGTGAATCGAAGTGGTTTGTGATGCTGCGCATTTTCGCTGCGCTCGTGCGCATGCCGGCGTCCGGAGCGTCGCGGCAGCAGTCAGCCTGCATCAGCCGTCGCGTGACGTCATTCGGTTCGCGCCTCAGGTGTTTTCGATGTGACGCGACTTGCGGCCGTATGCTGGCCGAGTGATGGCCACGTGATCCTCCTCTTCGAAGATGGCACCGGCCGGCGTCGTCCTCAACACAGTTCTGGTGCTGGTGGCGGCGATGCGCGTGGCGGCGGCCGACCTCACCTCGCGCACGGTGCACACGAAATACGGCGATGTGAGTGGCGTTATCGTGCAGCTGGACGCGAAACATTTGGAGCCGGTGGAGGTGTTCAGAGGGATTCCCTACGCCAGCCCGCCGCTGGGCCGGCTGAGATTCATGCCGCCGGTGACGGGGGCTCTGTGGTCGGGGGTGAAAATCGCGGACAAGTTCAGTCCGGTGTGTCCGCAGAGGCTGCCGGACATCGCCAATGAGACGGCGGCCCTCAAGAGGATGCCCAAGGGGCGGCTGGAGTACCTCAAAAGGCTGCTGCCCCACCTGCAGAACCAGAGCGAGGACTGCCTCTATCTAAACATCTACGCACCGGCGCAAGGTGATAACATGGAAAAAATCTCATATGTTGTAACAAAAAAGGGTACTCCTGGTACCCTCAGAGACTCAAAATCATCAACAAGGCGCAGATATTTCATTTGCAACAAGCGGTTTTAAATTCTACGTTTAGATAAAGGTTCCAAACATCTTGAAATCGTTGAGAGAAATTCCGGGTATATATTAGAATTTATCGACTGATACATAAAGCATCGCATTTTTACAATATATTCGACAGAGATAAAAACCTCCACTTTATTGCATGAAAACCTTAAACTTTTCAAAAACACCAAACTTTAATGTTAAATGAACATTTCCGAAGCTTTTTACAAAAACCAAAATCTTAAGAATTTTAACTAGAAATAGATATTTGCACTCTTACAAAGTTCAAAAGCCCAAATAATGTATTAAACATATTTTTCATTTCAGATCGATAACAATTCTGGTCGCCTTTAGAGTAAATCTGGAAGTATATATAAAAACACTTTTCTGAAATTTGAACTAGAGTAGCAACTTTAAGATTGACTCTCGCTTATGTAAAATCATTTGGAAATCTTAAATCCGTCGTTTCTTTTCTGGAAAACATGTTTTTTAAGTTATCAATCATAAATTGTAGATTTTTTACCATTTATTACTACGAAACTATTGACAAGACAATTTCCGGAAATTGACTGTATCTTATGTAAAATCGTCTGATCATTTTAAATCAGTCGTTGTTTCCTCTTTGCAGTAAACAGATTTCAAGTTGTCAATCAAAAAATGTAGATTTTTTACTGCATATTTAAAGCTTAACTGCAAAGCTATATTCAAGACCGTTTTAGTAAATTAGAATACAGTAGCAACCTTAAGATTGATTATAGTTTATGTAAAATTGATGATTCCAAATTCGTTCGTATTTTGTCTCTCGAGAACGATTTTAAACTTATCACCGGAAATTTGTTGGTTTTTTGTCTAACTGCGAAGCCAACTTCGAGACCGTTTTTGACGATTGGAGCAAATTAAGTACAATTTCATCATAACTTTTATCTAAATCCTATATTTTGCTAATTAACCAACAAAGGATATAGTTGTAAAAGCTATAACACTGTTATATTTTCATTCAATCGAGAATTGTTTTGTAATATCCTAGTTTTTTTCAGTAAAGTTTGCGAAAAAAAAACGTTAATTCGCGAAGGTCACAAAAGTGACCCTTTTATGACTATGCCTTTGAGGCATAGAATAAGAACTCTGTTTTTTTGTTTAAGCGTTTTTTACCAATGTTGTCCTTTTCGTTGTTTCTGCAATTTCTGGAGAGGTATGTACATGTAGATTATAAACATTCGACTTTTTCTACTACTAACTGCACTAGTTAAAACGTGAGTTTATGTGGCTCAGTTAAATTATTTGCCTCACTGCGTTTGGCAAATTAAACGTTCAGTTTTTTCACATAAATTATCAATTTATCTCTAATACATACTATTAAATTAAAGAACAACAAAAAAAAATTTTTTAACATTAATTATTCCATTCTGAAAGTGATTTATTTTAGACCATATCTGCAGTTAAATAAGTGCGGTTTTTTTTTGGAAAAAATAGCAATATCCAATAATATTGATTTTTCATGTCATTTTAATACTTTCAGTTAGAAAATTATGAAATATTGAAATCTATTTTGGATTGCGTGCTCTATAAGCCGCCAATATTAATTCCTGGCAAATATTTAAAGTTTTAACCGATTTTGCAAATGATCCGCTCTCCGCAAAACTAACCGCGCTTAAACTAAGCCGCCAGCCTAAATCATTACGTTGAAGCTTCTCCTTTCTAATGAGTGCGAATTACACCCATCTCCAAATTATCGAATTATTTCAATAGCAATTATCGTTTGACTGACGTTAATACTCGTAATAAATTATCTTCCTCAAATCGCTACTTCACCAAAAACTTGATTAAATTACAAGAATTTAATATCTTTTTTGATGTCTTGACTCAAGTCAACATTCTTTCTATTAATAAACATTCAAGTCTTTTAACTCAAGTTATAATTCAATAGGGGTCAGCTTGTTTGGTTGTGATTCGCCTCAAGTCGTCAAGTTTTACCATTTTACGATTTATGACGTAAATACAGCCGCGTAGATCCCGTAAATCTGGCGGGATGTTCGGGAAGTCACCTGTCGGCGCAACTTTAAAAGCATGACCAAATATGGCCATCGACCGTTTGTTTTCGATTAAAAATTGATACAAATGACGTCCATGCAGTCGCGATTGACTTTTTGTAATTAAATCAGATCCGAGTCTTGTTGTTTTTCCAGGCGAGAAAACGCCACTCCATTAATAATCTTTTCCGTTTTTTTCCGGAAAAGTTGTTTGCCTCGACACCCTAATATCACTCTAATTCGTTCGAGACGAACTGCGAAGAGGATTTACCAAGTTTTCTATACGGTCAATACCGGGATAAGAGCCGACGAGAAAAAGTTGTGCCATTTCAATGGCCGCAATTTTCTAATAAATTAGATTTCGGCAAGTCTGGGTCAGGTACACGAACAAAATGTGTTAGATTTAATGAAAGGGGTTTTTCCGGGTGGGGCAATTTAAACATGTAAAACACTGCGAGGGAAGTTCCCATTGTGCCGACACATCGGAAAATATTTGGCAAAGCCCGAGGAAATTGATGGAAACTGTAAAAGAAAATGATCCGGAGTGTTTGTGAGAAGTTTCCTTTGAAAAAGAAAAACATTTTCACTTTTGGACGGATCCGACCTGTCGTAATAGATATTTGCTTTAGATCGCTGATTCAGATATGCTCTGGCTGGAAATGTGAGGTAAGTCCTTTAACTCAAGGGTGCTCGCCACACGCAGAGACCTCAAGTGCATATTGATATTTTTTTCTCGGACACGATGCCGCTTTTCAGCTCATGCATATTTCAGACGAAAAGATAATCTCACGATCTGAAGCGTTAATTAATTCGCGGGACCGGAAATTGTATTACGCAGACTTTGACTCCGGGAATACAGATCAGTTTCAGGAAAATGTTAAAACACCACTTTCTACGTATTACTGGTCTTTGCAAAACGACCAAATTAGTTTTTTTTCTACGAGCACTGAATAAAGTTTAAGAATTTACTTAATTTTTGCCTGAATTATCACCAAAAACACCACTTGGGTAAAGAGCATTAGAGAATTGGCTTATAATTTGATATTTATTAAAACCAGTTTCTTTCTAAAGTAGTTTTCAAATAAAAAGCTTGAAGCAAAACATCAAAAGTATATAAATTTTAATTAATTGAAAATCGTGTTGGGAACAAACAAGTCTTAATCAAGCTATCAATTACGTCGCTAATTCGGTCACATCAGGTGCACTAAATAAAGACTACAAATTATTTGTATCGGATTCGCTTTATGTATTGCAAAGTGAGCTAATTGAATACACAAACAGTGAAGCGTGACGCTATTTCTCTGTTAGTTCAGTCTCGAGGCTATTCGTACAATCCAATTTTCAAGTTTCAAAATAAAAAATCTTGTGTTTTGCGTCAGTGGGCATTCAGATGGACAACAACTACCCAATAATATCACGCCAAAAGCAAATTACTTCCTGTAAACATGTCGACATTTTTCATCACACTGCAAAATCTCAATTACCCCAAGTTGAGCGTATCAACTCATTCAAGCTCTACTATTTGCGTTATGTCTTTATTTCGCTTGCATAGCTTTCCAATTTTCCACCATCAAAGCCACACCCGAGATATTAACACGCTAGATGCGAGCAATTATAGCGATGCTTGTAATTGTTTCGTGATAAAAGAGGCATTTTTATGCCAGCTATTGAATTAAATATTTTATATCGAGGCTTTCTTCTTCAAATATTTATCTAACGTTTGCTTTTGCTTTCAAGAAATTTCCCGACAACGAATGTGTGAGATAAAATCGAAGCAATATGCAAATTCTTCTTTTATTGTGTCACGTGGGTTTTTGTACATTCTGCAATGTAGGTATGTTCTTTCTCAAAAAAAAATCTCCAAAAATTTGCGTCTAAGCGAGTTAACATCAAAGCGAATAAGCGAATTTTTCTTTTATTGCTTTCTATTAAGTAAGGTGGGTTTTTGTGTAATGTAATTCAAACATTTATGCAATTTTTGCTTTTTCTTTCAAAAAATTTTTGACAAAAAACATTCAACGATTGTGCGAGTTAAAATCAAGGCAAATACTTGTAATCTCATTCAAACATTTATGCAATGTTTGCTTTTTTCCCAGAAATTTTTCGACAAGAAGACATTCAGCGAATGTGCGAGTTACCATCGAAACGAATAAGCGATTTTTTCTTTTATTTTTTTTAAATGTGTAAAGTGGGATTTTGTGTGTACTTTTTCAAACATTTATGCAATATTTGTTTTTTCTTAAGATATTCCTGACAAGGAAACATTTAGCAAAAAGCGAATAAGTGATTTTTTATTCTTTTCTATTGTGTAATGAGTTATTATTCAATCATTTATGCAGTGTTTGTTTTTTTTAAACATTCCTCTACTAGCAAACTTTCAGCAAATGTTAACAAATAAGCAAATTTTTCTTTTTACTCTTTTCTATCCAGTAAAGAGTTTTGTGTATTTTCATTCAAACATTTAGCGAATTTGCGAGTGTAAATCGAAGCGACTGAGCGAATTTTTCCTTCTATTGTGTAAAATGATTTTGTGTCCCTTTTCAATTAGCAGAGCAAAAAGTCGCCACATTGAATTTAAAATGCGCCATTATTTCCGCTGTGACACAAGTTTACAAGATATACATGAATATTTAGATTAAGCGCGTCCTCAAGTTGTCTGCTCTTCATAAGCTTTTCTTGTTTATGGCATCTCTGGACTGGAATAAAGTCGCTCGATGCCAACGCAGGGACGTCCCTCTTGCACCGGCTTTAATAAAAATACATTAACATTTAATGAAAATGCGGTTCAACTTTGAGTTTACGTGAAATGTAAGCTCTAAAAGGCAGCGAAACGTTTTCCGTCATGCATTCTATTTACATATTTGATAATCAT